TATATTAAGTTGATACTCAGCATAGACTATTTATTTATGTTGGTATTGGGATCAGACCCAGGACATTACACATGCAAGGCACACACTAGAAAGACATGTTCAGGGGCCAAAGATAGTCCAGTAGGTAGGGCTCTTGCCTTGCATGTGCTGACCTGTGTCCAATCCCCAGGCACTGCATCTGTTCTTGCCAGGAGTGATTCCTGAGAGCATAGCAGGAGTAAGTTCTGAGCACCACTGTGTGTAATACCTGCCTCCCCCACACCCCCAAAAGACCTCCATAAGCAAAAATAAATGACAAAGCCCCCCCCCCCCATACAAAAAAGACAATACTATATCAGATAGCAAAGTGTTTGGGACTCTTGAAATATTGTTTGAATATGGAAAACAGAAAAAGTTTTTTCTTCCCTATTTTCTTTCATTTCTCAACCATTACAAGAGGTTTTGACAAAAATTTGCAGTGTGTGGCTGTGTAGAATTATTTTTTTCTTTGGAAGAGCAATATGCTCTGATTTTGACAAAGCATTTATTTTTTTAATAACATTGTGATTTAACAATATTAAAGGAAATCTGTACTAAAAACCAGATTGGAAGTAGCAAGATAAAATCCTGTTATCAAGATCTTAAATCTTGTTTTACCAGGACCAGGAGCATCGCAGTTCTGCATGCAAGAAGCAGTGTTTGGGTTCATATCTTTCTGGAAGAGAATTTGATCTTCCCAGCATCTGTTCATACCTGCTTTACTTTTCCCTGCAGTCCTATTACCTAGGCAGTGAGGAAGGCACTTCTGTAGGTTGAGTTGAAGCATGGAGGCAGGAATGCCTGAGGGAGGCCAAGGGAATGGAGAAAGACTTCATGGAGGAGGTGCTAGGAAGTCATTCAGGGGAGAAGATGGAGGAAGTTGCTGAGGGGAGGAGGCACAGAGTAGAGGTATGGCATCTCCTAGGGCACCCAAGGTCGCTGGCTAGCTGGAGTATAGAGAGTATATTCGGGAGAAGGAAAGAAGGTGAAGCGGGGTGACTGCTGTGGATTAGACTGTGAGTAACCTTGTGTGGCTCATTCATTCAGCCAGTGGCCAGTGAACAACCACTGGGTCCCAGGTCCTGTTCTGGGTGCTGGCTTGCAGGTTGAACACTTGCCTCCTGTGGGTGGGTTTGTTGTCCAGCACATACTCACACATACAAGCTCTGTATTGTGTGAAGAGCCAAGGGCTAAAGCCAGAAGCCCCCTTGCAGGCGTTGCAGACATCCAGGGCATGGGTTAGAGTGCCAAGGTAAGGGTGATTCAGTAAAATTTTTTAAAAAAAAAAAGATATTTCTAATGTGAAAAAAAAAAGGGCTATGCAGGTATCTGGGAGATGAATTAAATTTCACCACAGGCCATGGGGAGCCAGGGAAGACATTTTGATTTTGTTTGGGGGTCTGTATACTGGGCTTACTCCTGGCTCTGCATTCAAGGATCACTCTTGGTAGATTTGGGGAACACTGTGGGATACCAGTGCCTTACCTGTAGACTATCTCTCTGGCCTTTAGGGGAAGACATTGGGAAATTGATGTGATCACATGTGTGTATTTAAAAGGCAATGTTGACAGCACTCTGCATTGTTCTCTTCTGGGAGCTGGGTTTTATAGTCTCTGAGTCTTGCCCGCTGATGGGATTACACGGTGCCAGGGGGCCAGTTGGTGGGTGTGACCCTTGCCTACTGGAATTTGGAGGATCTGGGTGGAGGATGCTCCTGCCCCCGCGCCTGGCTGTCCTCGCCAGGGTCCCTTGGAGGGGAGTGGGTTGAGTTTCCCTCCCCGCCCCAACCAGGGCTCCGGCAGCCGAAGACCTCCAGAACCAGCCACCACCATGCTGAGACCACTCTCCACAAGCATGAAGGTACCGGCAGAAGAACAAAGGCATGCGGGTCCCGGGGCTGAGATCTCCAAGCCTGCTCAGATCGGGGCTGAGCATCCTCCACCCAGATCCTCCAAATTCCAGTAGGCAGGGGTCACACCCACCAACTGGCCCCCTGGTGCCGTGTAATCCCATCAGCGGCCAAGATTCAGAGACTATAAAACCCAGCTCCTGGAACCACGCGGCCACATTCGCAGCCACGCGACATCTTATTATGACATTTTATTATCTCATTCCTACTTTGGACAAACTGGCAGGCTACCGAATGTAACCTGCCCACGTGGCAGAGTCTGGCAAACTCCCCGTGGCGTACCCAATATGCCAAATACCAGTAACAATGATGGGTCTCATTCTCCTAACTCGGAAAGAGCCTTGAATATGGCACTTTTTAAAAAATCTCAGGGCTAGGACGAAGGAGACGTTACTGGGGCCTGCTCAAGGCAATCGACGAATAACAGGATGGTCGTGATCATGATCGTTGACAGCACTGGAGCTGATCCTCTCCAGGGCTCGGGGGGATACCTCTCAGGGGCTCTCTCCCACACCACTATGCCCACTCCCCATGAATCTCCTTTATTGAAGGATCCCGGTGATTGAATTAGAGGCCTGTTGACATTCCTGTGTCCTCATTACAGTTTAATGGGTGACATCAGCAATGATCATATTCCCAAACAAGGTCATATTCTGAGGCTAGAACTTCAGCAGACAAATTCTGAAGGGTGAAAGTGGGGACCACTCTTCAATCTCCAACAAAGAATTCAAAAGGGATAGGGCTCCAAGGGGTAGAGCACAGGCCTGGCAGGCCCTGAGTTTGATCACTGGCATGACACAGGACCTTAAGCTTTGCTGACCACTTTGGTGACCACTGCAGTGCCAGCCTGAGCACAAAGCCATCAGGTCCACGCTGCTGGGCTCAGGAATGCTGGGACCGGGCCTATAAAAACCAACACAAAATTGAAAATAGAGAAGCTCACACTTCACTGTACCATATTGCGTGACTGACTTGTCGTGTTGCGTGGCTGGCTATTCTGTACACTCCTAGCATGCTTCTTGTCCTGTTCTGTAGCTGAGGAAACTGAAAGTGCATCTCTCAGGTCTAAGTGAAATATTGGGCCAGAGAGCTGTCACTGTCACTGTCCTCCCGTGGTTCATCGATTTTCTCCAGCGGGCCCAGTAACGTCTCCATTGGAGACTTTGTTGTTACTGTGTTTGGCATATCGAATACATCACGGGGAGCTTGCCAGGCTCTGCCGTGCGGGCGAGATACTCTCGGTAGCTTGCCGGGCTCTCCGAGAGGGGCGGAGGAATTAAACTCGGGTCAGCCATGTTGGCTACGTGCAAGGCAAACGCCCTACCGCTGTGCTAGTAGAAGGATTAAGCACTTGTCCTGCAGGCAGCTGAGCTAGGTTTGATTCCTGGCATCGTTTATGGTCTCCTGAGCTCTGCAGGAGTGAGTGATCCCTGAGCACAGCTGGATGTGGGACCCAAACAAGACAAAAAGTGGCCTGATTGCAGACACAGCAATTGATTGCAATGCATAGAGTCTCAGAAAGGGGCTGGACAACTTCACTGGGTTTAGTGCACTACAAAATTGGGAAGTTCATTGCAGTGAAGATATCACATAGGGTGGCATATACCTGGTGCCGCCAGAAAAAAATGTACTCTCGGGGGTAGACAGTGGTATCTCCTGGCCTGGGAGTGGCCTTGTTCCTGACAGTGCCCAGCAACCACCAGAGCCCACTCTTGCCTGCAGGCTTCCCTCTCCTCATTCTGAATTTAGATCAGAGTGAAGAGTAGAAAGAAAGAAATGAACCAGAAAATAGAAAATTAATACTTAGTAGAGTCATCATATTTTAAAATTAGTATGTCAGATAACTGGTGTTAAATTATTTTATCAACAGACTGCTAGAGGATTAAAAAATCACTGATTAAAAAATCACTGAGCATCTATCACTGAGTCTGGTGTTAGGAGACTTGCCTCGGGTCGGTCTCCAGGGACAAGGGTTGAAATAGGGTGGGCAGGAATGTAAATACTTGGTTAGCTGTGTCTTTTTCTTTCACACAGATTGTAAAATATTTCCCCGTCACTTTGAGTGATAGTGGGTATGTTAAGTAGTGATAGAGAAAGGAAGAAGCTGTTTGGGTTTGTGGGGAGTCGGCCTTCCTGGGGTGGAAAGTGAGGGCCCTCCCAAGCAGTTGCCTAAGGAACCCAGAGGCTGCTTCCGGCCAGAGTCACTGCTCAGCCTCCCCGTGAGGCTCCTGCAGGCCCTCCAGGACCACAGTCAGAGGGACAGGGGATAGGTACTGTGTGGCCCCCAGGACCTCACTTGGAGGGACAGGGGATGAGGACTGTGTAGCCCTGGGTTCTCACCTGGGACTTGCTCTTTCAGCTACCTTTCTGAGCTTAATGAGCTTCTATTTATTCTTTATTAGTTTTCTTCTTGGGAGTTTGGGATAGATCTGGGCCTCCTGCTCATACACCCTCTGCCCAGCCCACAGGGACTTCTGTCCTGTATTTGTGATTCATAACTTACTTGTGCATGTTGTTAACCACATAATTACAGGACTTCGGTTTCAGGAAGCTCCCTTTTTCTGCTGTAAGCACACTTACCAACTCCCCTTGGAGAAATGCCTTTACTTAGGACATCGTGCCTTTAACTCCTTATCTTACACTGTCACCCCGGCATCAGCGCTATACTTGATGCCATGATGTAATCCCAGCTTCATTGCTGTACTGCCTCACACTTGATAAGAAGTCACACATCCCTCAGATGCTCTATTTAAGTTCTCTTGGAACCCCTGGACCTGAGCCAGTAGCTTCATAGCTTTGCCTAGCTCTAGCTCTGAGATCGGCCAGCCAGTGTAAATAAACCTCCTTGTTTTTCCCTGCCAAGTCTCTGTTTGTGTGTTTATAAAGCAAACTTCTGGTACAACACCCTGGCTTCCCCGTGAATGCCCAGGAAGCAAGTGAGGGATTCCTCCATTTCAGAGGTGAGCACCAGGCCGTGGTTCACTGACAGCCTCTGGAATGTGCGGTTTGCAGCCTCGACACAGAAAAGCCCTCCCAGGATGAGTGACCTACTTTTCACCCCTTGTCGTTGCAGCTCTTTGTCAGGGGCGCGTGGTGAGAGTGCCCAGGGGCAGCCTGGTGCGGGTGGTGGGCACCGAGCTGGTCATCCCCTGCAATGTCAGCGACTACGATGGCCCCAGTGAACAGAACTTCGACTGGAGCTTCTCCCCGTTGGGCAGCAGCTACGTGGAGCTGGCCAGCACCTGGGAGGTGGGTTTTCCGGCACAGCAGTACCGCGAGCGGCTGCAGCGTGGGGAGATCGTCCTGCGGAGAACTGCCAATGATGCTGTGGAGCTGCGCATCCAGAACGTGCAACCTGCAGACCAGGGCTTCTACAAGTGCTCCACTCCCAGCACAGATGCCACCGTGCAGGGAAACTATGAAGACACGGTGCAGGTGCAAGGTGGGTCTGCACTCACCTGGCTTTCCCCAGCCACTCAGCTCAGGTGGTCTGTTGACAGTCTTTTTAATTTTTGCTATGCTGAGAGATGTTCAGGGCTTACTCTGGCTCTGTGCTCAGATCATTCCTAGAGGGGATCAGGGGACCATATGTGGTTCCAGGGATTGAACTGTGATCGGCCACGTGCAAGGCAGGTGCCTTTCCCGCTGTGCTAGTTCTCTGCCCTCATTGAGAACTGTCTGCTCTCATTTCTCACTCCACTGTCTCTGGGCAGTTGGAGCTGGAGAGAGCGGAGCTCTGCCCATGTTCACCAGTCCAGCCATTGGCTCTGCCACCTGGCGGTGGACATGCCATGTGCCTCAGTTTCCTCCCCTGTATCACAGTCTGCCATCAAGGTTTTGTGAACTTGTCTACACTGGAGCAGCACCTCTCCACCTTCTCCAGCGTTCCCCCTTCTGACCTTGTTTCCTGCCTATGCCCCTTCCCCCTCCCATCTCTCATTCCCTTTGACACATCCTAAGGACGTGCAAGGGTTTTTTCCGTCATTGTTCTGATCTTCCTATTCATTTGGCATTACAGGTAGGTCTGTGCCACATGTCCTTGAGAAGCGTAGTACTTTCTCCTGTAATCTAGTGCCTGTTACATGGTTTCACTTCCAACCCCTTGTCACCTAAGAAATGCAGCGCAGGTGCACACCTTGGTTGCTTTTTAGGTGTTTGATTTTGAGTATGTATGTTTTTTTGGTCATTGAGAAACGTTTTGCTATTGCCAGTTTTTTTTTTAAATCACACACATACATGCACATACACACACAGTTTCAGACCCTGAAATCTAGAGGAGTCCCTTCTCAGAGACCCTGGAGCAGTGTCAGGGATCCATACGTGATGAGTGGTGAGGCAAGAAGAGACGGGCCTGGTGGCTGGTAGCTGCCTTTTGCACCACCATGCTCACACTGCCTCTCCCAAATGGCTCGCACCAGCATGTCTGTGATCTCTGCTCCTTTTTCTAGGGCTCGTCCCTAGTGGCTCTAACAAGCCGTAGCCAAGGCATCAGATATGTGTGCCTGGCTGATTTGCAGGATCTCTGCTCACCCTGGTCATTCTTAGACAGTCCTAGGCCAGGGGGCCAAGCTGCTCCTCCTGCTCTGCTTTCACTCTCTGCCTCATGCTGCAATCCTCCCAGATCCCTCAGCATCTTTGCTCTATCCATGGTGTAGGCCAGTTTCTCAGCAATAGCTTTTTTTTTCCCCTTTTTTAGGGGTGTGTGTGTGTGTGTATGTGTGTGTGTGTGTGTGTGTGTGTGTGTGTGTGTGTGTGTTCAGGCCACACCTGGTAATGCCTGGGGGGTTATTCCTGGCTCTGCACTCAGGAATCACTCCTGACCAGCTCAGGGAACCATATGGGGGAATGCTGAGGATCAAGCCTGAGTTGACTGTACACAAGACCAGTGCCCCACCTGCTGTACTATCACTCCAGCCCTAGCAGTTACTGGTCATTCCCATGAGTGTCAAGAGCCAGGCACTGCCCCGGGCACTTTCCCCCAAGAACTCACTAAACTCTTTGGGCCCTAGCTGAGATTGGTCCAGATGTCACTCTGCCTTAGAGATGAGGAAACTGAGACATCGGAGATAAAGCAATTTCTTCCACATTAATAGGGGCCATAAAGACAGTATGGCAGGTAGAGCACTTCCCTTGCACATGGTTGACCCAAGTTTGATCCCCGATACCCTAGTCCCTGCCAGGTTGTGAGCCCTGAGTACAGCTGGGTATGGTCCCCAAAGCAAAAATAAATATAGTGTAACAGCAAGCCCTGTCACCATGCCTTATATGTATGAGGCTCTGGGTTTGATCTCGCATGGCAAAAAATAAATAACACATGCATTCAGTTACTGTTGATTGGCCATAGTTATGGTTAGAAAAAGTATATTGCATGGGGGCTGGAGCCATAGCACAGCGGGAAGGGCATTTGTCTTGCACGCGGCCGACCCGAGTTCGATTCCCGGCATCCCATAAGGTCCCCTGAGCACTGCCAGGAGTGATTCCTGAGTGCCAAGCTCAGGAGTAACCCCTGTGCATCGCTGGGTGTGACCCAAAAAGCCAAAAAAAAAAAAAAAGGTATATTGTATAAAACCTTTTTTTTTTTTTAACTTTTATTAGTGAAACACCATGAGGTACAGTTGTAGACTTACAAATTTTTGTGCTAAGATCCCAAGAAAAGTTGGCGGGAGAGACAGGTCAAACGGATGGGCACGCGTTTTGTGTCCAGGTGCGTATATGGATCCCAAGCACCAGACCATGAGTAGCCCTAGTCGCAGCTGAATGTGGCCAACAACAACAAAAAAAGCAGAAATGTAACTGAAGCTTGAATGGGGAGGCAGCTGCTCAAATGACTGGGTGCTTGCTTTGAATGCAAACACTGTGAGGTCTGATCCCTGGCACCGCTCCCCAAGGGGAATGCCTACTGCCCAGTACTAGCAGTTGTAGGTTCCTCTCCTCCAAGGTTCCAGTGAGAAATTCAGTTGGGATCACAGGCAAGTTGCATGAGAAAGTGTGCAGTTGTGGACGTGGACAATATAAAAACTGAGAAAAGGACAGAAAACTGCTCAAGATCACAGCCTCCCTTACAAGAGGGGTCTGAGGTCGGGGTGTTTCGAGGTGGGGGTGCTGACCGGTGGGATGTGTTGGAGGGTTCAGGTGCTGGTGGACGGGGGGCGTTGGGGAGGGCAGAGGGGTAGGTGTGATGAGTGGGGCATGTTGGGATGGGGTGCTGAAGGGGTGCGGGTGGTGAGCTGTGCCCTCTCCCCGCAGTGCTGGCTGACGCCCTGCGCCTGAGCCCAGCCCTGCGACCCCTGCCCGTCCTGCGCCTGCGGGAGGGCGAGCCCTTGACGCTGCACTGTGCCGCGTCCACGGCGTCTCCGCTGCACACTCACGTGGCGCTGCGCTGGGAGGTGGCGCGCAGCGGTGTCCAGCGCGCAGTGCTGGCCCTGACGCACGAGGGCAGGTTCCGCCCAGGCCCCGGCTATGAGCAGCGCTACCGCGCCGGGGACGTGCGCCTGGACACTGAGGGCATCGACGGCTACCGCCTCTCCATGGCCCGGTTGCTGTCCGCCGACCAGGGGACCTACCATTGCGTGGTCAGCGAGTGGATCGGCGAGCAGGGCTCCTGGCAAGAAATTCAAGAGAAAGCTGTGGAAGTGGCCACGGTGGTGATCCAGCCCACAGGTGAGCAGGTGGACTCCACACCTTTCCGACTGGGGGGGAGGCGGTGGGCATGGGGGGTGGGCAGAAGAGCGATGGTGCGGGAGAAGCCCAGGCCTCGTGTGTGCTGGGCCCCAGCACAGAGCCAGGAGCAGCAGCTTCGCAGCCCCCCACCCAACCCCCCACCCCATTGCCTTGTTTTACCACAAAGACTTCTGGGGTAACCTCCATCCCTAACAGAGTTCTGCTCCTCTAGAGTGACGATGGGTTTGGGGGGCTTTTGGGGCAAGCATGTGGGTGTTGTGTAGAGGGGTTTGCAGTCTTGGGAATCTCCCTGCAGCTGTTTTCCGCCTGGATTTGTTCTGTAGAAGCTGCCGGGGGGCTTCATCCCTCTCTCTTCTATGTTTGGTGTTTTCTACCTCTCTGCATCTGCCTTTTGCCAGCGGTTAGGGATGTGTGTCTGGCTCACCCCCAGACTCTTTGTCTTACTTGGGTGCTTCAGGCTTGCAATTCTAGGCCCCTCTGATGCTCCATCCCTCCGGGGCTGGATCCCTCTTGTCCTTGGTGGACCACCCCACACCCTAGGATCTGCCAATCCCAGGGCCAATGTAAGAAATTGTTCGTCGTCCTTGAACCAGCCTTTTAACTCAGAGGAAACCACATAGGAAGGAAAGCAGTGGCCAGTAGACATTGGTGGAGAACATACTGGGCCCAGCCTGGAGGTGCTTGAACCTTGTTCTCAGGCCTTGGGGAGCTTCCACTGAAGTTAGGGATGGAGAGGTTGTGTTTGGGAGGACTGGTGGATGGACAGATGGCCATGGTCATCCAGGATAGACATAGATGCTGCCATGTCATTGCTTTTGTTTCATAAGCTGGGCAGACCCTAGTAGACACATCTCCTGAGTATGCAGTGATGGTGTGGCTGGGCTGAGGCTCGGCTGGGAGACAGGTGGAAAGACACTGACACCCCCCCCCCCCCCCCCAGTCAGGAGTCGTCCTCTGCACAGCTCTGCTGACACCCTGGATGCACCTCCATGCAGACTCAGGGTCTCCAGCCCCCGGGACTATCAGTGAATGCGCAGGGGGAATTCTTCCCAAGGGGAGGAATTGGTTCTACCAGATGCAGAAGTTTACATTCCATATGGATGTGGGGGCATCTCAGAAGTGATTCATTGGTCTCTGTCCCAAGGAACATTTGGCTGTTATTATAAGGGAGCACCAAACAACTGCAGGGTGGAAGGATTGGGAGTTTGAGATTGGGAGCAAGTTAATGAACATTTCCTGAAGGACTTTAAATCAATCATATCAATCATTGAGGCAACTTTGTATTTGAAGCAGACAGCAAAGCCCTAATCCCTCTTGTAAAATTTAGGCCACATTAGCATCTGGCTCTCCCATCAGCCTTCTGGTTCCTAATCTCTCTGTGCTCCAGGCTACTTTGACAGCCCACAGACTTTTTCTCACAATTAATGTGTTTTAATTTATAAAATACATACATGGAGTGATACAGAAAAACCGTTATACTCAACTAATCATCAAAATATTTTTAAGACATTTTCATCTAGCAAATGCTGTATTTTGTTAAGACATTAAATAATAAGATATAATGCTAGGCTTAACAATGACTGTAATTTCTAAGCAGTGATGAATGTAAATGATATTTCAAGAAATCTGCAGCCAATTGTAATGTGAAAGTATCTGATCTCTATTGGGGTCAGAGTTCCAGGGATAGATATTTCTATTCAGTTTCATTGCTTTGTTTGCAACCAGAAGAGATACTGTATTTTATGTAGAGATTGTAAAAGTCAAATTTTTCTATATCCAAGCCAATAATTCCTGAAGTTTTCCTTGTGAACCATCATTAAGAACCACCATACCAGGGACTAGAGAGATAGTACAGCGTGTAAGGTGCTTGCCTTGGGTGACGTGTGTTCAATCCTTTGCACCCTATATGGTTCCCTGAGGCCCAATAGGAGTCATCTCTGAGTGCAGAGCCAGGAGTAAATCTTGAGCATTGCTGGGTGTGGCCCACAATTTTAAAGAAGAGGAGAAGGAGAAAGGAAAAATAGGAGGCAGAGAAGGAGAACCACATCAAGGGCTGGAGAGACCATATGAGGGTTAAGGCACCTAACTTCACCAGCTGGCTCTTGGAACTTCACCACATGCAACTCTAGAACACTATTAGGCATTGCTGACAGAGAATCATGGGGATGGGGGGGTGGCCCAGGACCACCCTTTGAGAGACAAAACAAAAGGACAAAACAAGACTATAATAACATACACTCATGCGAAAGAGAGAACAGGAAGAACCCCAGACTTAGAAGGTAAACTTGCTCTTGCTGCGGGAACTCCTTTGCCCTGAGCTGGCTTAAATCTTTTAGTGCTTTTTGCCAAATAGCCCAAAGCTGTGTCCTTCATGGAACTGAAGGCATTTTGTGGCATACCTCCTCCCCTAAGTTTGGGGTGCACTGGTTGCTGCTGATCTGAGCATGTGGATTCTGAGGTGTCTGCAGTCCTCTTGCATTACCCTGCCCTTAAATCTGGTTCTTCCCCCTTCTCCCCACTCACCATCAGCCCACTTCATCCTGTTTCCCGGCTGTTGACCCCCCAAATTCAGAATGTGAGCAGACAGCGTCTTCCACTCCTGGTAGAGAAGAAACCATCAAGGGATCTATGGGGCTGTAGAAAATGCCCCGAATGTCTAAACACCAGACTGCCTATGCCCCCCACCACCCCCGCAGCCCCTGCTTCACCCAGAGTGCTCTTTTCTGCCAACAGTAAACTCAGAGAGACCCCAGAGAGACCCCTTTTTACAAGAGGCACAACTGGGGGGAGCCCAAGGACCACCAGTGTTGTTGTGGAGCACTCACGTGGGAGAGATGGTCCAGCCACACCCCCAGGTGCAGCATATCTTCAGGGGGAGTCTGGGCCTCTTCAAGGAGAGGCGAAGAGAGTGGAGGGTTTGGGACGAGGCACAGAGACTGAGGATTCTTCTGAAATGTTGTCAGGCTTTGGAAATAATCACATGAAAGTACTGGGCTTGGAGGCCATTCTCTCCTGAGTGGTGCCACGCAGGATGTGGGGAGCCTGAGTGTTGCAGGTGTTGGTAGCGTGCCCACTGCCCTCTCCCACATAGCACGGGTGTGCTATGTGGGAGAGAGGGGGTCTGTGCATGTTGCAGGGGACAGAGTGGTGTGTACATGTAGAGGGGAAGAGGGTGTGGGATGGGTGTGTGTATAGCGGGAGTTGGAGGGTGTGTTGGGGGTATGGAGTGTGTGTGTAGCAGGGGATGGGTGTATGTGTGTGTGTAGCAGGAGTTGAGGGTATTTATTAGGGAATGGGGGTGTGTAGTGGGGGGTGAGGGGTGTATAGTGGGGGAATGGGGTATATAGCGGGGTATGGGGATGTGTAGCGAGGAGTGGAGGTGTATAGCGGGGATGGAGGTGAAGCACAGGATGGGGTTGCAGCAGGGAATGGGGGAGTGTGGAGCAGGGGATGGGGGTGTAGCAGGGGATGAGGGGTATAGAGTGGGGGATGGGGATGTAATGGGGGATGGGGGCATGTATTTGGGGGTGTGTGCAGCGAGGGATGGGGGTGTAGCTGGGGACGGGGGTATGTGTAGTGGGGGATGCAGGGGTGTAGCAGGGGTGGGGATGTAGCGGGGGATGGGTGTGTGTGTAGCAGGAAATGCAGGGGTGAGGTGGGGGATGCAGGGTTGTAGCACGGTGGGGGGGTGTGTAGCGGGGGATGCAGGGGTGAGGCGGGGAATGCAGGGGTGTAGCGGGGTTGGGGGTGTGTGACGGGTGATGGGGAACCTGCATATCTGGACAGCACTTTCCTTCTGCACACCTTGCTCTGACCTGCCGTGGGCCCAGTGTGAATCTCCCCGCGGGCTAGCTGCCTGGAACCTTGAAGTGCATCCCTGAGCATTGCCATGAGCTCTTTTTCTACAGATTACAGATGCCCAATTATTTTTACAAATCCTCAGAATACAGAAAAATTGTTTCCATATAAAAGGCTTTGATGGGGGAATGATGAAACCATATCCGCCTGGAGACTGTGACCCCAAATTCTTCATCTAAATGTGGTCTCTCTCTCATTATGTAGACTGAGGAGGGGCAATATGTGGACAATCCAGAAATATTTGAGCTTGGCTTTCAAATCCGTGCTTTTGCCTGGCGTGTCCTGCTGCCTCTGAGGTGTGCCTTTTCAGAGGAGCAGTAGCAGCCATGTGAAGGCTGACTCCTAAGGCTTAGTGTTGATTTGACTTTCCTCCTCCTTTCATGGGAATGTGGGCAGGTGCGACTACATCCTGCAGTGCTCAGGGGACCATATGTGGTGCTAGGAATTCAGTCAGGGTCAGTAATGTGCAAGGCCAAGTGTTCTTACCTCCTGTATCCCTCTTTTACCAAAACCCTGCTTTCCCCTCCCTCTCTGCCTCCCCTCCAACTTCTGACAGTATGTTAGAATTCATCCCATCTTTCTCTATAAAGTCCCCCAAATTATAGCCCAAGGGAAAGACATACTTTTTTTTTCTTGCCATGTCCAGCACACTTTTGGTGTTTCAGATGACACTGTGACTGTTTAGGCAGAGCCTCATGGCACCCTGGACTCCTGTCTCAGCACAGCCATGATGTGCATGGCCATGAACAGGTTACTCAGATTGTTCTGTGCTGCCATTTCCTCCAGTAAAAGGAAATGCATCTCAATCTGTCACTCACAGATTGTTTAGGCATGTAAATATTTGCTGTAAACATTTGCTGCTCTTATCATTCTTTATGACATGAAATGTTGGTTTCAATAACGCATTGGTTTCAATAACAAAGTTCTCCAGCCCCCTCTACTTGTGTGTGCGGCAAATGAGGTGAGAAAAGGAGGTGGAGTTCTGCGAGGAGGGAGGCAAGTGAAAGGCACAAACATGACGAACTGATCTGTGTGTCTGTCTACTTCTGAAGCGCTCCAAGCAGCTGTGGCCAGGAATATGTCTGTAACTGAAGGCACGGAGCTGGACCTAGCCTGTAACATCACTACCGACCGAACGGATGATGTGCGGCCCGAGGTGACGTGGTACTACAGCAGGACTCCAGACAGCACCCTGCTGGGTTCCCACATGCTGGCGCGGCTGGACCGGGAGTCCCTCATGCATAGTTCTCCTCATGTTGCCATCAGCCATGTGGATGCACGCTCCTACCACTTACTGCTCCGAGACATTAGCAAAGAGAACTCTGGCTACTATTTCTGCAGTGTGGCACTCTGGGCCCCTGGGCACAACAGGAGCTGGCACAAGGTGGCCGAGACCACTTCCCCCCCACACCAGGTGGAGGTGACCTGGCAAGGTGAGTGGAACAGGGATGGCTTCATTCCTCCTCTGGGACATCATCCGTCAGGGGTGGAGTTGGGGAACGTTGTGTTTTGCGTGACTTTCCCTTTCTTGAAAGCAAGACTGGTGGAAATTGAATCTGGAAGGCACGGGGCAATGTTTAGATAATATGGCCTCTGTCGGCTCAGTTCCCTCATTTGGGAGGATGGAATGTCCTTTTGTTGATGAGATTTGCAGGGTTGGGTGCTGCTGAATGACTCTTGAAATAGAGCTTTGGCAGAGGAAGAACTCGGCCCGTCTCCCTTCCTTGGGACACCTAAGTATGTTCAGCCAGGGGTTGCCACCTGGCAGGCCTCTTCCCTTTCATGGAATGCACTTCTCTCCACCAAAAGTCCCTGAACCCCTCAATGATTTTATTCCACTTCATTCAAACAAAGCCATTTGTTTTCCACTTCATTTATAAAGTTGTTCATGATGATTTGTTACAGGCATTCAGTATTCCAACACCAGTCCCACCACCACTGTTGCCTTCCCTCCACCATTGTCCCCATTTTCCCAGCCACCCCTCACGCTTGCCCCCCATATCAGGCCCACAAAAATTTATTTTTAGATTGCTTGTTACCACTATGCATAACAGAATGATCAATGCCTTATTTTCCATAGCAAAAAATTTGTGAAAATTGTTGTATCTCACCATGGCAAAATTATGTCCTTGTCTGAGGTTTCACTAAGCTGTTGTTACAAGTTAAGCCTTGTGTGTTAATGTTTTTATTCGTCGAGATGGGTTGGTGTCTGTGTTCCATCCCATCCAGTCTCGTGTGCTCGTTGCATGTCAGTGTTGTAGAGTTTGGGCATGTTGCATGGCCACCAATGCAGCTGTGCACTCCAGAAAATCCAGAGTATTTAACTGGGCGGTGAACTGGCCTGTTAAATATTTGGCTGCTGGGTTTCCCGGAAGTACAGGGAGGTTGGGAACCCCCTGAATGATTTTAGGTTCCAATATCTCTTGCTTCATAGGCTCTGGTTTCTGATAGACTCATTCCACCTGCCTGGGGCACCTAATTTCCCTCATGACTCCTGACCAATTTGCTGCCACTGGCTAGTTAGATATTGCTCATGTTTTTTTCTTTTCATTCTTCTTTCTTACTGTCCCTTCGATTCCTAAATGCTGTACTGCTCCCCCGCCCCTCCCCCCCCCCCCCCCCCGCAGCACCCCCTGCACCCTGGGCTGACTAATTTCTATAAAGTCTACTGTCCATCAGTTGCAAGGAAACTGAGGCATGATGATGTCCTGGTGGAGTGATTCCACCTTCGTTAGTATAGAGTTGGGGACCAGCCTTCCAGCACCCTTTTCCCTGGGCTAAGTTGGATTTTAGTGCCGACCCACAATTGTTTGGAGCATAGCATTCCTCTGATGACAAATAGGTAGAATGGAGTTTTATCTTTATTTTTTTTTAATTTATTTATTTAGTGACCCACACGGGTGATGCTCAGGGATCACTCCTGGCTCTGCACTCAGAAATGATTCCTGGCAGTGCTCGGGGGACCATATGGGATGCTGGGGACCTTGGTCAGCCCCATACAAGGCAAGTGCCTTTCCTGCTGTGCTATCTCTCTGACCCCAGAGCTTTAATTTAATTTTATTTTTTTCTTTATCAGATTTGGGGGTCATACCAGCAGTGCTTGGGGGCTGCTCCTAGCTGGATGCTCCTGACAGTGCTCAGAGAACCTTATGGTGCAAGGGATCCAGCCCAGGGCCTGCCTGCTCCCATCTCCTTGAGCTGCCCTTTGAGTTGTCTCTCCAGCTCTGCACTGATCTTGCAAGTCCAGGCAGTCACAGCCGCTGTGGTCTCGCTTCCAATATCCCCCTCCGCCCTACTCAGACTGAGCCTCCCCTGCCTCTCCATCAGTAGGGTTCTGGGGTTTGTGGCATAGTCTCTGTTTAGAGAATGAAGCATTTTGGGGCAAAGATGAGGAGCTGGCCCACGGGGGTGGGGGGTGGGGGGTGGGGGGTGGGGTAGGATTCAGGGAAAACAGTTGCAAGAGCAAAAGTGGAAGTTACATCCAATGCAGAGTGAGACGAAGCAACAAGTTGGTTGTCCCTGGTAGCAAAGTGATTCTTCTGAAATTTAGAAGCACAAGGCACAGGGCAGATGTGGTGAGCTTTGATTCCCGCTGCCCGTGCTAAGCTGGAGCAATGTTGGCCAGCCAGAACTCGCCTTAGCAACCTTCAAAATAAAACAGATATTGTCAGCACCAAAAGAATGTATTTTTTCATCTGTGGAGCTGAATCTGTCTCACTGCTCTGATCCTGGATGCACTGTGCCATGCCATCAAGCCTGCCTCTAGCCTGCAGCTCCAAGAGATTCTCTCTTTTCTGAACATGTGCCTGCACTCCAGTGTAAGGGCCTCTTTGAAGACCTCATATATCGATCACGGCCTAACCAGGTCTAGACACAGGTACTGGTGACAAACAAGAGAGGGTTTGGGAGGATCTTTTGGAATGGGAAGAGAAGAAATAAAGGATTGAATGGTGGGAATAGCTTCAGCTCTGATGCTCACTGTAAGGGGAGGAGGTACTCTGCTGCATGTGCTAGACCCATTGCTGGGTGAACTCTGTTTTCCCAGCTCACACTCAGGGGGGCAGCACCGATATCCCACATTTGCTTTTCATGGAGTAGGCACTCTGTACCCACACGAGACCCTGGCATGGGTCAGCCATCCATGGGGCCTGTGAAAATATGGGCATGAGAAAGTGAGGCTCACACAGACAGCAGCCAACATGTGCACTTTTCAGAGAGTCACATTCAGGGAGAGTCAGTGGAATCCAGACTCACCCACTTTCCTTCCTCACTTATTGATTAGTTTGGGGATCATAACTGGTGGTGCTTACTCCAGACTGACTCCTGGCTCTGCACTCAGGGGTCTCTCCTGGTGTGGGCTCAGCGCCTCTGTGAGGTGCAAGGGATCCAACTTGGGTTGGCCATGTACAAAGCAAGCACTCCACCTGCTCTACTATTGCTCGTGCCCCGGCTTTGGAGCTTTTCTTCCTCTTGCATCACTTTCTCCATCTCTGTGCCAAGTACTTTTGGAGGTGTAGCTGCTTGGGTACTTGTCAGGCCGTGAGCTGGACAGGAACAGAGCAAGAACCTCCAGCACAGCCCAGTGGCATAAATGCCTCGCAGAGGTAGGTCCAATCCATGCAGGGATGGAGCCACACAGGAGGGAGCCATGAGCTGTGTGAGGCCATGGGAGTTAGCTGTGGTGACCAAAAAGGCAAGGACACAGGTGACCTGTCCCAGCTGTATGGGAAGGAAGTAGAGGTACCCAGAGTTCAGAGGCACCCCTAGGACCAACACGTGTCACATGGAACGTTTGCTGTTAGTCAAGGCCATCTACTGGTGTGCCCAAGTTCAAAGGGGTGAAAGAAAAGACCCTCCCTTTCTACCACCCTTGCTCCCTCCTTCCCTTCCCTCCTCCTCTTGGACATTATCATTATCATTGCAGTACAGACACTGAAAGGTTATCCAGTATATTCTTGTTCAATGTGATCATTTCCAGCTATTATTGTCATCCTGGTCCCTTTTCTATCTTACAAGGGTAGAAAATTCTTTTACTTTGAATTTATGCCCTCCCTCTTATTTCTTAGCCACTCAGCGGTGCTCAGAACTTACTCTTGGCTCTGCAGTCAGGATTTACAGGAGCCAAAGAGGATGCTGGGGATCGAACCTGAGTTGGCCCCATGCAAGGCAAGAGCCTATGTTCTACCTTTGAAGGGTAGATATTATTAGATATGCCAAACAATGATAACAAGTTGCTCTACAAAATGAAGCATAATTCAAAGCAGAAAACAGAGAAAATAAAATCAAGGTGCAGGAGAGATAGCCAGCTGAGCACAGGCTTTGCATGCTGGAGGCCTGGAATCAGCATCCCCAGCACCTCATGATCCTCTGAGCATAGAGCCAGGAGCAGCTCCTGAGCGCTGCTGTGCATGGTTAAAAATAAAATAAAATAATAAAATCAAGATCCAAATGAGTCAATAAAATAATATTGAAGAATAGATATTGCAAAGTACTTGGAGTGAATTGGTTACTATATTTGAGCACTAACTATACCTCCAAAATTTTAAAGCATTGGGGTCAAGAGAAATGTGATTATACAGTTATCTGCAGAAAGAAAAACTCTAACAAAGAGACAAAACTTTTTTTTGGCACTGAATCGATCTTGCTTTTTTATTTAAGGAGCATTGGATAACATAATGGACAGTGCTTTCAACTGTTCCTTTATAAAAGGCTCTATGTGATTGTTTAAATGGATCTTTATATCCACTTTCTGCAAAAGCTGAAGGCATAAATCTCAAGTGTGTGAGGAAGTTTCCATAAGAAGCTGTGCTACACTGGGGGACAAGTGATCCTTTGTGTTGATCCAATTTAGTATATGTTGAAAACTATGGGGAATCTGGGGGAATGACTGCTTAATCTGCATATTAAGCCGTCTCTTAGCTATCAGATGTCTCTAAATGAGCCCTTGGCCAGAGTTAGATGCTGATCACCTCATGGTTGAGCGCTCTGCACCAAGCCCGACTCTGGTGTTAATTGGAGAGGCTTCTGTGGGCGTCTGGTCCAGAGCAGGTGGAAGCAGGTGAGTTCTGCCTTCAGGGCTAGCAGCCTTCTTTTTTTCTTTTTTTTTTTTTAAATTGAATTACCATGAGATACAGTTACAAAACCTTCATGTTTGAGTTTCATTTATACAATATTCCAACATCCGTCCCTCCACCAGTGCACATTCTCCACCACCAATGTCCCCAATATTACACCCCCTTTTCCAACCCTCCCCCTGCCTCCATGGCAGACATTTCTCCCATACTCTCTCTACTTTTGGCATTATGGTTTGCAATACAGACACTGAGAATAGCCTACTTTTCATTCTCTTCCCTGCCTCCTTCCCAGCACACACACCCCTCCCCCCCATGCTCATGCTTATCCCAGGTCCTCTCAGCAGCGTGCCAGGGGGGAA